TGTACCGAAGCATACACATGTACACTACACTATTAGTGCACTGATACAGACACGCCCCTTCTTTCCTTCCCAGCCAACATGTATATTTCATAATTGGAAAGTGTAAAATGTAAGTTACCCACTTCAAACGGTCAGAAATTATACCTACCTTGGAGAGGAATAATTCTGAATTAAATCTATTCTCTTCCCTGTTTATATAGATATAGATATATATCGCCAGTCTAGACCTGCATTCGTTCAGCTAGTAGTTATTTTTAGAATATAGGAATTTCCTTTATCGCTGACTTTGGACTACACCAAGGATCGTAAGTCTACGCGGAAATCAGAAAAAAATGGAGAAAAATGAATTTTAAAAGCCCTGCTCATATCTAAAAGAAAACAACAAACATTTTATATATCTGTACATTATATATATATAAGTTTAGATATCTGTAAACATGATAAATGAAACAATATACCCATACGAAGTCACAAATAAAGTGTCGATCTTGAGAAAGTAAATTAACTTAATCGTATGAATTTAAAGTTATTATCACTAACATGCATGCAGTACGTATGGAGTATATTTATAATTTAAAATATTCAATTAAGGAATAAAAGCAATTGCACTTACACTTAAATGTTTTCACTGTTACACTGTTTTCTTTATCAAGAATAAATGAGATAACTGACCAATTAACTTGGCTACAAAGTAACAAAGGATTAGACCACATGCTGGGACGCTGGTCATAAACATCCGGACAGCATGGACAAGAAATAAACATCGATCAGATTGCAGATCATAATGGGAGTATTGGAAGTGTAATTAAGGTACTGTTTTAAAAACCTTCATACAAAATATGATTTATGAATTTCATATTTTGTCTATGCATTCCTTTGGTGCCATATTTTTTTATTTTGATCTCATGAAATTGGAGTGTGACCTACTTAAAAAAAATGTGGCCATGGGGGCGTTTTTGAAATGGTGGTCAAACTCAAATTAAGATGAATTAAGATAAACTTAGGTTAAAAAATGTTGGTACATGTACCCAAAGATAAACTTGCAAGAAAAACACGTGTGAATTGATAAATCACGCACCAAAAAGTATTTTAACAAATGAGCATGACGAGCTAAATTAAAGGTCAAAAATATTGGAGGTTTTTCTAAAAAATTAAAGAAGGAAAATGAAAAAAATACACTCGTGATGTGACATTCCAAGGTCATGTACATGCTGTATGTCAAAAATATTGGTAGGAAATGTAGGGTCTTGCTCTAAAAAATAAATAAGTGAAATATGTAAAACTGAAATTAGAAAATGAAAAAATACACTCGTGATGTGACATTAACATAATATTCTCGTCTGTCAGTCCTGTATGTCGTTATAATTATTATGTCGCCACGCACGAAGTCGAGCGACATATTGCGATTGTACGCATGTTTTTGTTCTCCAGGCTGTTTTATGATAAATGAGTTGGGTGTCCTCTGTTAGTGACCCTTTAATTTTCCCTTTTATTTTATCAAAACTTAAATATATTCAAAACGTTTCAAAATAAGGAGGATATCATAAAAAAGTTATGGATGTAGATTATTTGTGTTGTGTGGTCATTCAGAAAAAAAATTATTTTTTTCAAAATAGCCACCGCACTTTGAAAAAATTTTTCAAAGTGCGTAATTTTTCAGTGCGTTGTAAAACCTACAAAAAAGCGACGACAATTTTAGGCTGTTTCTCGGAGAGTGAAACTTTTCAGAGGAGGATCAGTGGTTGCAGATGTGTTTTGTGGTCATCAGTTTCAAAATGGGTTGCCATGGAAACCTTGAAAAAACATTTTCATGAAATTTTATTTATGAAATTTGATTATGTAATGATTAGATCTGTCATTGTGCTCATTGGATTTAAAAATTGCAAACTGTCAATAGCTTCTATGGAAACAGGGGAAAAGTGAAAATTTTTTAAAACAAAGTACTGAAAGGACTGATACGAGTTGATGGTTGTCCAAGCTTAGCTAATGGGTATTGTTTTAGTGATGAAAAAATGAAAGTCTTGTCCAGTTCGGGGCGACATACGCTATTGCTTGCAATAGCAGACTTTCTAGTTAGTTTTATTTTTATTTAATTTCAAGAATCATTTAGCTAAAACAGATACCTAGAAGTAACGATTTGTTTCATTTTTATTTTTTAACAATAAAAGCTGCCCCAGAAGTCAAGAAAGTAGTTCTTATTGAGAAATTTATTGATATGTGTAAACTTCTTCTTGAATTTGTTCTCGTCCAATAAAAATTCAGAAAATCAATAAATAAAATTGAGATTAAATTTACTAGGTGGAAGTAAATTAAAAATTTACAACATGGTCTCCGTGACAATCATGTGACCAACTACTGTATTGAATCATAAATTTATATGTGTCTGTTCAACAAATGATGTCTGCCTAATGAAAAATCTGAAAATAACATATAGTGCTCGAACATAACAAATCAAAAGCCCAACTACCAACGGATTGGAATAAAACAAATAAAACAATTTTTGCTGTAAAATTTATTTGTATAAAATACATGTACAAGTTTAGTCTCATAGATTAAAACAAAAATCAACACTGGCAAAAAAAAAGAATAATGAAAATTGCAATATACTGTACATATTTTTATATGTGGCAACACTATGTCCCAAGGTTACACATGTATATAAATGAGACAAAAAACTGAAAAGAGCAACAAAATAAAGCAAGACTGACATATCATAGTATTGAAAAATTAATAAAAAGGAATAAATACCGTTAAAGTACAAGTTTTCCCATGGGTCACAATTCAGTGCAATTGCAGTTTCCATTCAATCTGTGGGTAGAAAATTTTTTAATTTCTTGGATGGCCAAATGTTTACCTAACATGCGCTTTGGGTACGCTGTAACATATTTCTATCGAAAATTTCTAACCTTGAAAATAGCGTTAACATTGAATCCCATGTAAAAAGTACTTCAAAATGATAAATTATATATTTGTTAAGCAGCATATAATGGAATCATTGAATAAATTGGTCGTATATGTATAACGTAAAGACAGACAAAAAAAAATAAATATAAATAAATACATGTAGTAAAAATATATACACCAATGACAAACCCTGAATTTCCTTAAACGAATTTCCTATTATACCTGTGATTATGCATTACGTACATGTATCTCTTTTGGAAATGTACATCTGTATTAAAAGTTCCAACTTCAGAAGGTTTATTAGGATACTGATGACCCAGTATACTTAATTTCATACATGTACATGACATGTAGCAGTACATTTCAAAAAGCTTTGAAATGTAACCAATGACATCTCAACTTTCAAGCTGAAAAATATTCTTTTTACTTCCGTTAACTTTCACTTTCACTTTCAGTTTTTTTGAAAGTTGTGCTAATCGTTTTATGATCTGATATTGATCTGATGTTCACATTTGTCTTGTGATTCCTGGTCAAATTTGCTGTAAAACCCAGTTAAGCTATTAATCGAAAGGACATACAAACAAGAGCTACATTAGTTTTAATCTAAATATCTAACTTAGATCTTCTGAACAATTTTAAATATAAAATTCATAACAATATATCAATCTGAGCAAATATCAGTATAAAAGTCTATTAATCACCGAAATATCTTGAAAAATAACCCTTCAAAAAATTATATTTTAAAACATCTAAGTCAAAAATATATGCATAATTATAATTATGCTTCCAGTAGAAAACTATTATGCTTTATCCTTTTGTTCTTCATATGGGGATTACATTAATTCCTGGTTCCAAAAATCATAAAACAAACAAAAAACATATAAACACACAAACAATCAAACAAACTGGTTTGTAGATATGTAGATTTGTGGTAATATTCCGTGTTCTAACATGAAATTTGTAAAAGTTTTTAGTTTCTTGACCACCTTATATTCTGTTGATTGGTTCAACAATGAAAACAATATTGGCGTGCAATTAGAAAAATAATGAAACAGTTTAAAATTTTGTATTATTAATTAGCAATGAAGGTATTCTCATTTTACAATGAATATAAAATATTTTGCTTCTTATCGAAACTGAGGAAGAAAATATAACATCTGTAAACCACACAGCAATAAAGGGAGGGGGTTGCAATGGGAGGGGGGGGGGTGTCATGGCCACTTTAAGACTATCTAAACTTCCCGAAAAAAGAGTTTTAAAAAAAAAAAAGGGGTACAACGCTTTAAAATGTCACAGGGTGAAATATAATTAATAAATTAATAATCGCTAGAAATTTGGCTTTAAAAAAATAAAGAACAGTAGTCAATCTAAAAAAATCTACCAACAATACAAATATGTGAAGAGGGCATAACACCCCCCCCCCCCCCCCCCCCCCCCCCGGAAATTCCAGAAGTGAGATCAGGTGCCTAGGAGGAGTAAGCCTCCCCTGTTGTCCTGTCACATCCGCTATGAGGCCTTTGTAATGATCAAGTAGAAGGAACCTTATAGTTTTAAGCTATCTCAAATCAAAACCCAACATAAAACACAAACAGAAAAAAAAACCACTCCATTGTTAACAGTTATTCATTCCAGATTGATTTACAGTTTTACAAATGCTATCCTACAAAGAAGGCTTTAATGAACATTCTTAATAGCACCAATAAAATTAAAAGAGTATAACTATAAACTCTAAAACTCTTTTACTATATTACATGAATTCTGTTACATGTATTCATTTGCATGTTATAAAGTTATATAAACACAAATCTGTTTTACATATTGCACAAAGGGGGATGCCTATACAAAGGAGCATTGATAAACTTCCAAGAAAAATAGTGATTTTTTCCTTCTACCTCAAAAATAGCAGATATGAACACATGTGACAGCATCCTCAATATGTATAAGATAAAAAATTAATCATATAAAAAAAAAACCCTGATCAGCAGTCAACATATAAATCATTTTTAAAAATCACAATCAAATTCTGGAAAATTAACACAATAAAAAAAAAATCGTTTGAACATTGCAGGAATGAAATAGATTGTTACCACTGTAAATTATTTTTACAAAAACTCTTCTAGTAAAGTTATAAGGCTTTTAATACCAAAGCGAATCCCTGCCTTGGTAGAGAGATCTTGCTTAGAACAGGAAGTTGTTTCTATGGCATTGGCGAAATCTATAAGTCGAATATCAGTATTGCACTGGACGTCTAGGGAAGTAACATTCGGAACACCTTTATCTGTGGCAAGAGTAACATCACCTTCGTAGAGAATTAAAAGGGAACACGAAAAAAGCTTGAAGGCACATTGTGTATCTAAGGCTTCTAGCATTTTGCGTAATTTGGTAACTATGGACGCTATAACGTCTTTTCTCAATGACAAACCATTATGAAAGAAATTGATCATTTCATCTCTCACGCCATTTTTGTCCAATCCACGTCCAAAATACTTGTCATGTGACACATAACTTTTGGTGTCGTGTTTGTAAACCTGCAATTATAAGTATCTTTTCGTAAACTATGGTTCCTTTTTTGTGAAAATTCATTAAATTGCTTAATTATAGATGCTTTGCATCAATTTAACTTGTTTATTCAAGTACCAAAAAATCAAGCTCTTGTGTAATAAGTAAACCTACCTGAATTCCACACATCCGGAAGCCCAGTGAGGCGGAAGTTGAAGACAGCCATCTTTCTTCCAGCATTCTCCTTTTGGCCTCAGATGCGTCCGGTGACCTGTGACTGGTCCCCATTTTGAGATCCATGACACAGGGATAGCGGTAAGGTGCCACCAGATTCTCCAACATTATGAATTCTGGTTTTTGTTAAGGTTTATCATCCCTTCGTTTATTCATTTATAATTTTGCTTTAACGCCATAGAATTATATTTTTAACCATGCATGATGGACACATGACCTTATGAGTCAAAAATATACATGTATATCCCAATGAGAGTTTCTAAAACTGCGATACATAACGAGTATTAGTGCTATTTTAAATTTAGAGATTTGTGATGACAATCACACTGTTTGATAATTTTTATTTTAAATTAACATATCTTTGTTTTACTTTAGATTGTTTAAAGTTCAAACGCCAAATATTTTTTATTGTGCAATGATCGATGAAAAAAAATACAAACACGGACCCGAAAATTCAACAATTGCGACCAAGAGGAGTAAGCATCCCGTGTTGAAGACCGCACGGTTACACTCATTGTGAGCACTAAATGTACATATATGCATGGATTGGGTGGACTCAGAATTCAGATACAATACGTCCAAATGATGGTTACTAGTATCTCATTCAGTAAAACGACAATAGAATTATCGAAATAGACTTTAACGGAGGCTGTCAAATCCCTTTAACAACAACTTGTCTATCAGTAATCTGACTCCATGATTGAAAATGTATTGGAAATGTTAATCAAAAGGTTGCCTCCCCCCACTGTATACTACAGGAAATTGATATGCACGAAACAGGATTTTCGAGTTTGAGCAGTTTTCCTTTTTTTTGCATGTCAACTTTTTCAGGTAAGTCAAAAAAAATTCTCTGGCTGCTCCCCCCACACTTTCAAACACGATGCTACGTTGCTGGTATCAACGTAAAAACCACAATTTTATGTATTTGATATCGGAATATGCTACATAAAATTGGAAAGTTGACGAAGTAAAACCGAAGTCATCTCATTTGTCGTATAAATTAGTTGAAAGCTGATCCTTATCCTTGATCAGTATCATTCCATTACCTAAAGTCTTATGTTGTATATAATAAAATACAGAATCATGTTATTTCTAAGGCACTCTTCCTAAAAGAAAAGAATCTTAACAATATGAAATGTTAACAGGGAAATCTAAGCCACGCCTAGGAGATCCGCTCCTTTCAGTATAAAGGATACGCTGTGCTTTTCCCTCGCTCCAGTAGCCGTATCTGTCAATCTGGCGACGAATGCATTGATCACTCCAGGCACGAAGGCTTTCATCAGATTCACTGTAAATAGGTCATAAATTTAGTTTATTTGTGACAGGTGCAAGAAAAAAAGCTTATAATATGTGTTTGAAAGGCAGGTACATGTATATTGTCAATGTAAAAGGGGCGATTTCTCAGACAATTTTCACCCTTCTTTGGGTTAATGAACCGTCAGAACCAGTATGTATTAAGCAAAACTTAAATTATTTTAAAATTGAAGTCTTGTATTATTGAAAGTAATTTATGAACGAGATTCCGTCTACATTTTAACTGAATGTAGCATAATAGTGTTTTGTAATTACCAAAATGTCAGTATTAAAAGACTTCAAGGCAGATTAGAAATAAACCTACCATGCTTACGTCAGCAAAATTTAAACTCGGTTAAGCAATTTTATATTTTCCCCTGACTTCTCCCATTTAAACATATAGATTACAATTCCACTTGTTTTTTATTTATGAATATCTTGATTACATCTATTTGAAAAACGCCTTTCATTCAAATAAGGCAATGGAATAGATGATTGTAGGCAAGTTAGCTTGTTGAAATTTGCAAAATTGGCCCTGTGAAAGAAGCCAAAAGGGAAGAAGAGTGTCGAGAAAATAAGACAGAAACTGTATGACAGTGTGGTCTTGATATTTTCCTGAAAAAAAAAACGCTATGATTTTTTGTAGTTTCAATCTTATAAAGCAAATCTCGGTAATTTCTATAATTGATGGAGTATAAAATCAATGTCGGAAACTAAGAGTGCATGATGCGGATGACTTTGCGGATACCTCGAGTACAAGAAAACAGTTCGCTCATGTATCAATTGATTTTTCTCCCCTCTTTCATCTGTCAATATCATTTATCGATGTAATCTGGTAGGCGTCTTATATTTGCTATGGCAACACGTGGTTCTCGGCACTTCTTAGGAGAAACTCATGCATGGGGTATATGACAACCGACAAACATAAGGACACATGAATATTCTCTCTATACACGGATAAATCACAATCTATAATCTTTTCTTTAACAATACCCTAAATTTCATCCTTTCTAGGTACTCCAAAATCACTTGGAGTAAATTTTGTAAATAAACCGTTAAGTTACAATTTCATTTATATATATTCATGTCGATTTTTGCCATTTGAAAAACATTTTACATGTAGATCTGGTATTTCTCAAAGAAAAGGATTCTTCATCTTATTTTTGCAATTTTTCTGGAGTTTTTGTTTCAGCACTTAATGCTTTACATAGGAGAAATGCTGTCATGAGCTATATGACAGCACTTCCGGTGTTTCAACTTGCATTCACAATGAAATATTCATATATTTAAGGAATGAAGCTTATTTCAACTTATACGAGTATATACGATATTTACATAACTTAGGACAGTTTACGCTTTATAACCGCGAAGCGGTTTATGAAAAAGCGTAAACTGCCCCAAGTTTTGTTATATCGTATAATATAAGTTAAAATAAGCTTCATTCCTTATAATTTAATTTCAGTGCAGACAATGAGACAATTTTTCCCCTAGAATAAGGCTTCACACTGATCAAATTTTAAAAGTAGCGTCAAGCGGAGTAATACGTCTTTTGACGTAAATCATTATGACGTAGGCAAGTTATGTTATACAAAATGGATAAAATCTTTTATCCAATCAAATGACGTGTTACAAGTAAAATTAAATTATTCGCGGTGAAAAGACTTTAGCGGTCTACACTGTATATAGATCCTTAAGGTGCGGACATGAAATTCTTGAACTCAAGTACAAGTTGATTTACACTGTATGTTTGCTAGAATTTGGGACTTCCAATCCATTGCTATTCTTACCTCTCGGAAACGACATCATTGATCAAACAGATTTTCTCCGTTATGACGTCATTATAGGAGTTATGAATGGGTCTCACGGAGCCCTTGGCAACTTCTCCGTAAAACTTAATATTATCATTGCTATAGTCACAGTGGATGTTGATCAACCCTGTAAAAATATATACATATGTATAAAACAATTTTCCATTGCCCCAAAAATAGATTTTATTTATTCTTTTTTCTAGTAAAAGTAATATTCGCTTCATTTTTATTATGTTAGACATAACACGTGTAAAATCGAGGGACTTTAAGTGGGGATTCACAGGAAAATGGGGGGGGGGGGGGTCGGGAATCGCATGAAAACCTTGAAAAGATCCAAAGATACAAAAGCAAAAGGGACAGGTTTTACCCGGGTTCGATTGAAAAAAAACCTGCTCCTGATGTATTAATTCAGGACTGTGACGCTACTATATCCAAATCTCTTGTAATCTACTGGTAATACATTCCAATTCAAAATGAATCCACTTTTCAGTCAGTGTTTTCTTTTTCCGCTTTAAGAGGATTATTTTATTGTGTGTGACAGGGTCCCATAATTCCTTTACATTTCATTGTAAACTGAAGTTGACTTAAGGTAAATATGTGGACTGATGTTTCGTCATGTAAACAGAGAGTAGTATTAAAGTATTGTGACTAATTATGAAAAACATGAGGCCACAGTGTGTTTGTTATGTAAAAATAAAGTTTAAAAACTCTATTAAGTGCAGTAGCTCAATTTAAAAAAACCGTCGAACAAACGAAAATGATCATTTACTTACATTAAGTACGTGTATGTCTTAGGAGAAAAAAAATACTGTGAAAATATCAGTATATCATGATCAACTCCAATCAAATTTACTGTCAACAAAGGCATTCATAGTGTAAATATTACATAATCTTGCAACATTATGTACTCGACACACTTTAAGGGAGTATCTCTTATCGTATCTGCTACATAAGACAAGGAATATATATAAATACAGATTTGCATAATTATATTCTAACTAGAGTTATGCCTAATTATCAGTTTCTAGAGCTCCCTGGGTCACTTTGTTGTACATTTCAGTGCATGGCGCCCATATTACTATCTCTATTTATAACCACTGACTGTTTTATATTTACGGGTATATATAAGTATATTAGTAAAAAAAAATAAAGAGAGCTGAAAATGTTTACATACCTCTATAAAATGGCACAAAGCCTTGCAATCCCTTCGGTAACTTCCTATAAAACAGAACCTCGTTTTCTTGGTAAGGTTTGCAGACGATATTTGGGGTGACCTGCAGTACGCATGTGTGACCTCCGACCTGATGAACAAATGGGGTCACGGTCACAGTCTCTAAGTCTGTTTCACCCATGTGCTCAACTTGAGGCATCTGAGAGAAAAGAAAGATCTAGACGATTACTCTTTTTATATACAGATAATGGACGTATAGATCTAAATCTTCGTTTTAGCTAAACGCAGAGAGAGTTTATCCCAAATACTATCATGTGAACATCTCTTTATATAATTTTCTGAATGAATTGCATGGAATCAATCAACTCCCCCTTTACGGGGGTGTTGGCCAATTTGTCAAAATGGTGCCTACATTTGACACACATCCGAGTCTTACATTGCAATGAATCAGAGCAAAAATCCTAACTTCTAAAGAACTAAAGAAATAATTATTGTCGATCCAGTTCAATGAAAAATAAACATTTAACTTGTTTTCAGTCAGTCTAAATGCGGAATAAATTTTTCACTATGATTGGTAGAGGATCGCGAATGAACTGGTGCTTGAAACTGGTCCATAATTATATGTACATGATTGTATAGTTTCGCGTCTTAGTTAATCTTTAAATGTCAAGCCTTGAGTGACGATCGGAAGTAAAATCAATGAAGTCAGAATAAAAAAAAAATAATAACTTATATATAGATCAAAGGAAAATTATTTAAAACCATGTTTTCTTTCGATTATCTGATTTCTATCATGTCTTAGCATAGAAAATATGTTCTTCAAGCTATTTACAAATTTCAACATTTTTTTTTTTTTACTTGAGTGTAATTTACATCCCATTAATTAAACTTGTTTATAAAACAAAAAGAAACATACCTTTGCGGGATAAACAGACTTTTAAATGTGTTTACTGGAATGCCTACTTTATATGTATTCACGTTCCGGATGAATAAGTTTAAAAAATTGAGCAATGGAGATCATCAAGAATTAAGTAATGCTGGAGATCGAAAACATAATTTTGGGGTTAACGCGTAATCCAAGTTTACTGCGTCACAAGACATTGACCACAAAAATTGTTAATCCGGGAGTATATGTATAACTTAAAGATTAAAAAAAGTCCTGTATCGGATTTTAACTTTAGATAGGTGCAATGATTTCACGTACAAACAAACAAACAAACTTACAGAGAGATGCAGACCAGTGACAAGGATCATACAGGCGCGTGTGTTTTAGTTTGCACCGATATATATTATCGGTATTACACACGTTTATGTGTCCTTAATGTGCGGACATTGAACAGTAATCGGTATCTGTTACAACATAACCACATGCTCTTAATTCGTCATCAAATAAATTTACTTTGTGAAAGGAGAAATAATAGATCCGCACCGTATAATTCTTATTTTAAATCAATTTATGCAGAGTTTATATGCGACGCATAACTAAGAAGTCCGGCTAATTTAAAAAGGATTGATCTGAAATTTCAGGTAAAATACCGTCATTAACATGTTTACTTTGAAAACATTGTTAATCTGCTTTATTTCCTGGACAGAGTAAAAAAGTATCCCACCCTTTGTGTAATAAGACACCCCCCCCCCCCGCCAAAAAAAATCCCACATTTCTGAGGGAAAGTATTGTTTTCAAAATAATTTTAAAAAATTCACGGTACTTGAACCCTACGGGCCACATTAATTAAAGTATTCTATGAGGTGCCTTTATGTATTGGTATATCTAAATTTTGGATCAAATGATAAAATTTCAAAGGCATATTTGGAATTCACAAACACAGGCGCTTGACGTTTTTAACCTTTCTTTTCATAAATAAAATATATCCTCTATACTTTTATAGTATAGAGGATATTTTTATTTATGAAAAGAAAGGTTGACATAATAGTATAGAGGATAATTTTTATTTATGAAAAGAAAGGTTAAAACCGTCAAGCGCCTGTGACCACAAAATAAAAATGTGCACAAACTTTGACAAAATAGTTCGTGATATCTTTCCCCAAGATCTAGAGCACATGAAATTTTAAAAATAACATTTTTTATGTATAATATCAGTTAATTTGTGCATCTTTAATTTTCGACCTTTTGAAAAAAAAATTAATGAAATGGAAATGCAGCTCAAATATATATTTTTTTCTTTTTCAAAACTTCAATAATCAACATGATTAAGCTGCTACAAGCAAAGAATCCTTGATCATGTTGATTGTAAAATCTCAAATCTATAATCCACATAGGCGTCGGAATCGGGGGGGGGGGGGGGGGGGATCCCCCCCCAACCCCCCACTTTTTTTCCAAACATATACGTAGTAATTGAACATATCTTCGTAGGTTTAGCCCCCCCCCTTTCCACAGTAACGACTTAGTATAGGTTAAAAAAAATTTTAGTACTGAAGTTTTTTTTTTTTTTTTGCTTGTCAGGTTTTTTTTTGAAGGTACAAAAATTTTATTTTGTTACACTTAGCCCCCCCCCCCCCCCCCACTTTCAATTTGCTTCCGACGCCAATGATCCATATCTTCTTTAATTAAAAATATGATAAATAAAATGTGAAAAATTAATGTTTACACACTCTCTGGTCAGTGACCTAAGGTTTCATTCAGTTTCCTCCTCAAAGGTCGATAACACACGTCCTAAACGCAACGCCCTGCTGTGGAACTATCTAACCCAAACACTGCTTTCAATAGATTATTTTCCCATTCAGCATGTTCAATCGGATGAAGATAGGGAATAGGCTTATTGAAACAAACTCTATGTGAATTTTTGCCCCCCCCCCTCCTCTTTTGATCAAACATGACTTGTTAAATACCATAGATTAATGGAAAATACTTCCTTTCAAACATGAACAGCTGATAAATGCTCATGCAATGAAAAAAAAGCTGAAAAGCTTCCTCGTTTGTTAAAAAACAACGCTTTCAAGAAAAGGAAATAAATTATCTATTTATAAATCCATTATATAAGTTAATGCCTTAAGATAATTTCCATTAATGGTAAATAAATATTTCATTTTAAAAAAATTGTTTGTGTGTGTCCAAATTCTGGAACATCCAAAAAACGTTCTTATTTCGTCAAGAGTTACTTCGCTTTCGTAAAACATAAACAAACTATTTTTATACTATTTACAGCGCACATATACTCTGTATTTAATCATATATACACGCTTCTTACCCGTATCGGTGTTTAAAGAGTGTGAATTCCAAACTGTCACATAGCTTTTCCTGGAATTCTGTTTTTAGTACATGGTGTGTATACCGATTTTTTCCAGTATTTACTACCGGGATATGTTGTGATTCATCGTGGTCACGTGTTTTCTCTTTGATCAGTTGAAAGGTCACAAGTGATGGAGTAGGCGGATCAATTACCTCATGGAGTGTATTGTACACAAATTTGAAAAGGATATGACTTGTAGAAAATACATGTAATAAGCTGCATAAGTAGATGTATTCTAAAATTTTCATATGGGTAAATTAAAAAACATTACATCTACTGAATATTATTTCCTTTATTTCTTATCAACACCATTGCCATTCATCAGTCCATAAACGACAATATTTAAGCAAGTCATTTTGAACAGTGATTGTACGTTCCATCAGTTATGCAAACAATGGCAGAAGTCTATATAGTACAATATTAACATATTAAATTTTACTTTGAATGCTTTTTTATACAGATGAAAATAAACAATAAAATGTCTTTCTTTGTCAATTTATACGATCAATATACGGGAAATAGCAGGGGAAAAATTTATACTTAACACGATTACAAGGGTAATGTATTTTTTTTTCTGCAACAGTTTCCATAGCAAAAACCAAGGAAAGCATTTTATTGTTTAAATACATGTAGACCTAAGCTCAATATTAACACCTTTATTCAATATAATTTTCTCAATGTCCACAAAACCTTTATCTCTGGTATAGAGAGAGGGTCCTTAAATTCCGAACTGGCAATAGAAAAGACAACTGGATAAAAAAATATAATTTTACATGTATACAGAAAATTAATTATTAAAACTTCTTTTAAAAAAATCACTACATCTTAAAAGACATTCTAAAATACAAAATCACAAGAAATTATAATAGTTTTTATGCTTCAAATAAGTATCAGTGAATCATATAGACATATGATTAAATCTAGACCATGATTGAGTACAGTGTACTTCTCTTGTATATGTGACAAAATTGGCTTTTTAATTGTTAGTTTACAACATTTCTTCAATTCTGGTTTGAAAAGTTTTAATTTGAAAAAAAAATATAAGAAGGAATAAATTTCTCCAAAATTATTTTTTTTTGTCCATCTTTAAATTTAAGCCAAAAAAAGAAGTTTTATATACAAGTTTTCCAACAAAAAATACTAGATTTTGAAGTGACTCTATTTTACATTATTGTTTTGCACTCCTGACATCTGATCTGTACTTTATTTAACATTGTAAAAAATACAACTCACAAAAAAAAAAAAACCATTTTTTGGTTGTAAATCAGTTTGTCGTTTTGATATTTTTGATCGATTAATTAAGCAATATCTAAAAATTGTTTGGTTGTCCTCTCTCGATGGACTGACCAAAAAATGGTCTGACTAAAAAAAAAATTACATTCCAGGAAACGATATTTTTTCCTTTTTATTCCTCTTATCCTGTAAATTTGTTCAAATTTCCGGGGAAAAAAATTCCCCACCTACCTACCGACCAAATAGGGAGAAAGCCTTACGGCAAGTTTTTCATATTTTCAAGACCTTAAAACTTGATTAAATTTAATATTTTTGATTGTTTTTAAAACTTATGTGGAATGATGAAAACTATGCCCTGAATAACTGTAAAACGTCTTTAGACATTTGTTGATAGACATTGTATTTTGAGCATTAAAAAGTTCATTTTTTTCCCTTCAATTTATATTTTATTAAGAAAATATGTCGCACTCCTGGCCATAGAAATATAGATCTGAAACATAGACGGACACTGTAATTGATAGATTTATTTGGTAAATATATTTTTTGTGCCAAAATAAGATTCAGAATTAAAATCATATACTGATAAAAAGTTTTTCATGATGGGGAGCAAAGCATGTTGAACTTCTGACATTATTGGGTATGCACATATACTTGGTTCTCATAAATGCTGTTTATGATTTAAATATATAATTGTATTTTAAAGTTTGAAAGTGTATGTTAGTTATTTCTTTACACTCTGAAAAATTCTTTTATGACTTAATAGTATTTCAGCGTTTTACAATCAATATTTTTTTAACAACGCTACATTTTTTACTGCACTCCTGACGTGGTAATACATTTTTTTAAAACATGAAATATGTGGAAATAACGAAGAGTATTTAAGCTCAAAAGTCTATAAAGATCACAAAATAGGAGCAGAGCAAACACGGAGCACTATGGCCTCAACTTGATCAAACAAAAGTTTCCACAGTCCACATTTAAAGCTCAATGAATGTACTTTGAATATTATCAGGAAAATCATTATTTTCAACATAAACCGTTACTTTTCATTTCACAGATCTTCAAAAAGTAATTAATATTTTTTAAAATGTCACAAAAAGTTTTTAGAGTTCTTACATTTCAATCATCATTTTGGGGCATTTTTGTGAATTGAGATATCTGTCATGTTGTAAATTTTGAATTTAATTTTGTATTTACTGCCACCCGGTAAATTCAAAATGTACAACATGACATATCAACGATATATTTGGCAGGTGCATGTATTCAGAAACCATCTAAAGACATATGCTGAGACATAGAAATCTGTTTTCATTGCATGTATTTTTAAAGTGGCTTGATAAATATACGTGTTTAGTCCCTTTTTATAATTCACCCATATACACCCAAAGCGGTCGGAAAAAGTTGGTTGTTTTTGCATCTCCATGAGATAAAATTAAAAATATTTTTAAGGCATAACATTATTCCAGTTTTAGCTTTAAATTAATAATGCGGCAATAAAAACACCCAAAATGCACAAGAAAATACCAAAGGGGCATCCATAAAATTTAAGAATAATATCGAGATATTTATTTTTTCCGTGTGTGTGAGTGGGTGGGGGTTAACGTTCCAGAGCCTAGCTGTACACAGGATGGACTTTTATATCTTGTTATTATATATTAGACACTATATAGGATAATTAGGTGTTCAAAGGTATATAGATTATGATATCAAATGAAATTTTAACTTTTAAGTACATAAATGAATTTCTCTTTGAGTGAACCACTATGGGACTTTAATTCCTCTAGAGAACTGAATAGAGAGAAAAGATTTAAACGAATGATCAAATTCTTCCAATAATTTCAGAGGTGTTTAAAATATTTTTCTCACGCAGTTTTAATTTTACGCGTTCATAAACATGAAAATACATGGAGATAACGAACAGTATTCAAGCTCAAAAGTCCATTAAACAATACAAAATAGGAGCAGAGCAAACACGGACCTCCAAAACATCAGAGGTAGAAGTCAGGTGCCATTGAGCAGTGAGCATCCCTTGTCGAGCGGTCATACATGTAACGCTGTGTGCCCCTTTTGATGATAAGGAAAACAAAAGAAATCTGTCGACAATACGGTGTGTAAATAATGGACTAACTATTTGTATGAAAAACGTCAGTCAGTATTTGACTGAATAATGAACAGTATTTTCTGACAAGATCATTATATACACTATGCAATTTACGAAATAATGACTTTAAACGAGACTGCTGATATTCTTGTTTCAACAACTTGTTTGTCAATAATTTACCCCGTTTGAGAATTAGTTAATTGCAATGAAAAATAGGTCCATTTCACAGTTTTAATAACATCATAAAAGAAACAGGCTGGCATGAATGATGTATCCAGGCATATACTGTAAAATCACATATTTTCGTGCAGTGAAATTTTCTTGATTTGAGGAAAAACTCTTTGTTCGTGGGGATTTTAATTCGTTGATAAAGAATTGTTGATTAGTTATGTATGTAACACTTAACATTTTGTGGTGGACATGGGTCTCTTCATACCTCGAAAACAACGAAAATTAAACGCCCACGAAAATTTGTGATTGCAAATTATACTAGCAGATGATCTATTGATACTGGATCTGGCTCCGGGGCCATAAAACTTGATATCAGCTCACTTTTGATCCCAGTCTCACTTTTTCGAAAGTGATTTATATCAGAAAAGTGAGACTTAAATAAAAAAGTGAGCTCATCTCAGTTTTATTGCCCCGGGGCCTGGCCTCATTTTCTGGAGGATTGAGTGGGCGAAAATTTATGATACATGTCGATGTGATATTAAATATACATGTATAAAGATCTTGTTTTATCTTCCAGATTCGGCCTTAACCCGATCAAATCCTTGCTCTAGGTGACGCATCTAATTTTAATATCTGAATTACCAACCACTCAATTTTTGGATCGAACAGTTTCATTATGAAGTAGCTTTGATACTTGTTATGATGCCGAAAACATAATGATGCTTCAGACGCACCACAAGTATGTTTCGAAGGTGCATTTGTCCCGGCCGTATCTTACGGATTAAATATGATGAATCCATTTTACTCAGTAGCATACATAATTCAAACACAAACCAAACTTTCACTGATGAATGCGGCGAAGATTTGTGTGAAACCTTAAGCTTTTAATAGCTTAAATCTTATTTATGTATAGACTATTTAAGATGAACTTCCAAAACTTTGATAATACAATTTGCAGACCTCATTTCCAACTCGACGATACTGTACCCTGTCTCTTTTTAAAAAATCTTTCCATGTAATTATTTTGATTCCTTTAGAAGATTTCAAACCAAAGTTTAACTTTAGGATGTAGTTACAGACAAAGTTGCGCTCACGGTACAGGAAAATATATATGATTATCATTGACAGTATGAACACATTTTTTTCTTGGAGGGGAAAGCTTCTAGCATCCCCTGTCAACAGGCACAACCGCTGTAAACCCTAGGAATATTGCTCATGGAGACGGAAAATTCTACAGTAAAAATAATTTTGAAAATCAATTTATGTGTGTATATTAATTACAGCAAGAGCCAACCGGAAAAGGATGAATGTCCCAAGTCATCATTGTATATATCTCCAACACGGCTATTTGCGATGGTTCGAACAAACACGTCATCTTCCTGGTTTACGTACACCACAGCAAGATTTCCGCCTTGAAAGTTCTGTCCACTTACAGATTGTGCAATAAAGACACCGACTTGTTCTTTGTTGACAATGAGTTCTACAGAATGGTAATGATTATGAGAAACTCGAATATTCCAGTAAAACACGTATACCCCTGATTTTGGAGCTATGAACACGCCTGCATTCTGATGAAAACCATTTCCAACATTCGTTTTAACAACATCAAATACCAGGACATGATGAGATCCAATGTTGGAAACTGGTGATGACATGTAAGCATAAAATGCTACGGTCTGAGTCGTTGGTGGTGATGTGGATAAGGGCATGAGAAAGCGTTCTGTGAATATAAAGTATCATTGCTTATATGATATTAATAGGCTTATTTTTAACTTAGATCATAAGTTTCAAACATATATTGATTTACATGATTTATGATATTTAAAATTGTGGTTTGTTTGTGCTTTATATCTTTGTTAAAAATAAAAGATAAAGAAATACTTTAAACATTCATGTTTAATAAATCAAATGTGTTATTTTATGTTTAATCAAGTGTTACCTTTGCGATCAATAGAATTGGCGAGTGACGATTCCATAAAACTTCTCTTTGAAATTCTTCGATTCACTTTCTCACTCTGTTTGTTGGGATTTATTTTTTTGCAACAATTTGCTAAGTTTCTTATGTTAGAGTCACCACTGTCTTCGTCTCTAAAAATAATGATTCTACGTCTTTTCAATACTGTTTCTTGTAAGGCAGACAGTTGGTCGGACTGTTTCTTTGTAGTCTCCTCCAATTGTTCTACCCTACTCTTCAATTTAAAGAGTTCATCCTCAATATAAGCACTATTCAAATGTCCTTCACCAAGTCCAATTAATATCGGCAAGGCAATAAAACAATAAATGTCAAATTTCGCCATATCAAAAAGTGTTCTTTTTCTAAATATATACAGGGCACAAATCAGCACTCGATATATGATATGACGAGATAAGAAAGTATATGAGAATATACTTCTATGATCTGCACTACAGTGCTTGCAGTTCTATCAGTTGAATATGATTCCCTTATCTAATTTGAAAAAGGCGTCTTATTTGGCAGTAAGATTTTTAAACTACTGACAGAAAAATCAAAATAAAGCTGTAAAAATTAAAAAAACATTATCGAATGGGGGCTGGGTAAGTATATATACTGAAAGGAAAAAGAAACGCAGGGTAAACTTTAGAGGTGTATTAAATTTATATTTATTTTTATTTTTTTCAGTAATCCTAACTTTTAAAATCATCTTTAAAGAAAATGTAACCATCCCATTTGATTTTGTCTTATAATTCATGAGCTATTGAAACTCATATAAAGATACCCTCAAAAAGTGCAAAATCGAAAACTCTCATTATCTTCAATGTCTCACCCGCGCATCTGTCACAATTAACCTTGATTCTCCTTTGCATGGAATTCATCAGAATGTTTATCTTTCAAACCCTGGCTATATTGGGCATGGGTAACCACACCGAAAAATTAGTCAAACGACACGCGCATGCGCCAGTGAGAAGAACACAGACGTAAGTTGACCGGCTCCAAAACTCAAACTGCGCTATTGGTTTCTTTCAGCTTTCGGGTGAATGTAATGATTATGATAGTCTACTGAATTAATAGTGATTTTTGTGGTAGTACGGCGGCGATTAAACAGATGGCAGGACGAATAACGTGATCACAAAATGACTCCTTTTCGCGTTAGCGTCATCGTCATGGTTAGTTGGAAACCATTCCTGGCCCTCTGTGACAACGGGTAAGACGTTCTATGGGAAAAAAATTACAAGAAACTGCTCAGTAGCCCGTTGTTGCCCTTTTCCTTTATCGGCAATTCGAAAACCAGACTCCATGGAACTTCTATAAACTGTTCCGAGATTGCAAGAAATTCATATCGTCTGTAAATACTGAAAAACAATGTGTACACCTCAGGCGCATCAAATGGTAAAACAAGATTTGTTGACAAACTCGTCGTCATCAATTTGCACGTGTTTTGGGCTTTTTAGTGTTTTCCCTACGTGACGTAAAACATTTTATGGTTGAGTGATTCTGAACACTGATTTTGGTGCATAGTAATTAACATTCTCATGTGACCGATTTTCGTAATTTTCCTTCATGCGGTCAAAATTTTTTCGAATATTATATGTTACCATGCGTTTCTTTTTTCCTTTCAGTATAGACTGGATTGTTTTTATGTTTGCAAAGTAAAATGAGATGCCGGGTATTTTGATGTGACAAACTCGTTAGGACTGTGTGTATTGATGACGGGTAAGATTTAAGCGAACACTGAAAACTTAAATAAAACCATGTTTTAAAAAAGCTTTTGAAATTCCACATCCTTAAAATAATATGGAATTTCAACTTTTATGTGTGGACAGGAGGTTGCTTCTTGTTAAATGCTAGACTTCAATTACATGCACAACAGGCGCTTTGAAATTTGGCTTTTCACTTTCTCACTCTGTTTGTTAGAATTTATTTTTCTGCAACTATTTGCCAAGCATTTTATGGTTACCTCAGCACTGCTGTGGTCTCCATTTATCACACTGTCCGCGAGCTTAACAGTTTGTTTTTCCATTGCATTTCTGTATTCCCGATTTTTCCTCTGGAGGTGGGCGATGAGCCTGGATTGTCGTTGAGTCGTCCTTTCAAGTCTGGGAGCTGTTTCTTGTAAAGTAGACAGTTGGTCGGACTGTTTCTTTGTGGTCTCCTCCAATTGTTCTATCCTGCTTTTCAATATAAGGAATTCATCCTCAATATTAGCACTGGTCAAATGTCCTTCACCAATTTTGATTGAGATCAACAGTACCATAAAACATGGAATGTCAAATTTCGCCATATCAACAACTGTTCTTTCTTTGACTATATGCCGGACACAAATTAGCACACAATATTTGATACGACGAGATAAGAGAGTATATAAGAAAAACCTCTATCATCTGCACTACAACTTGCAGTTCAATCAGGTGAATCCGATGCCCTAATCTAATTTAAATTGTTCTTTATTTGGCAGAATAATTTAGCAGGAAAACAAAAAAATATGAAGAAATTCAAAAACATATTGAATGGGGTTTGGGTAAGTATATACTGGAATGTTTTGTGCTTGCAAAGTATAATGAAAATGAAGCTGACGGAGCTGCAAAGGTTGAGATATTTGGATGTTGGAATAAAGAATGACAAAATCGTTAGGACTGCCTGGATGGGTAACGGGTAAAAAGAAAGATATTATAATAAGACATTATTAATCTATATCTTAGAAATTACAGATGTTTATTTTACTCAATCATATCATTAGCATCTATAATTCCTATACAGATTAGCATCTATAAATGCGAAGAGTTGTATGGTACCTACTCACTTTCATATAGACATCATTTGTGAAGGTGAACTACGGAAACGTTGTTAATACAGGTTTTATATACTGTAAATTCCTTATTTTTCTACGTCAAATCGCGAGAATAATAATTCGCAAATGACGGTTGATCAAGAAATTTTACATACATGTATATTTCAGCATCGTAAAAATAAAAGCGAGTAATTTAATTTCACGGGTGGTGCTTCTCGCTAAATTACGCTATAATTAATTCCACGCGTATAAAATCTACAGTATTATGTACCTCATTTGCAACTCTACGAATACTGTATCAAGTCTCGTTTTCAAAAGATCCTATCACGTAACTCTTAATTCCTTTATGAGATATAAAATAATTGACTACCTACAGGACGATTGATTGATTGATTGATTGTATATTGTTGAACGCCATTAACGTCCCATTCGAGAATTTTTCACTCATTTAGGGACGTCACCATATGCAGGTGAAGGACTTCAAATTTAGACCTATATATGGCAACCAAGGCCACCGAGCAGTGAGAGCTCCCAATCGTGCCAACGCCCACAGCGATACGGGACCTACGTTTTAAGGTCATATCCGAAAGACCCTTGACTTATACTTCTAATACCGACCGTATGGCGAAGGAACAGTCACTACCTATGTGTACGTCTTTTACACGAAGTTTAAGGCAAAATCACACTCACGAGACAGACATGTAGATCAATGACAGTGTGTACCAGTTAATCCTTGGAGGGTGTACATTCCCTGTCAACCAGGTACAGCCTCTGTTAGCCCTAGATGTTGCAAAGGTTTCGGCCTTGGAAGATTTCTTGGAAAATTCCCCCACAGTCGAGATTTTATTTTTAGGCAAATAAAAACATAGTCCGAATGGTGAGATTTTTCTTTGCAAACAGAATCTCGAGAATAAGGGGTATATTTTTCAACAATTCTGACGACAAGGGATTTATTTCTATTCTGTTACGACCAATATCTAAATATAAAACTTCTATATATATACATAGAGAAATGCAAAAACTAGAATAATATTGTACATCATCATACATGTAAATGTTTTATGACGTTACAATTGTAAAACATTTGTATCATAGGTGTTTTATTTCCAATTTTACATAATGTATGTAAAAGCCTCGAAAATTTGGAAACATTGAAAATAATTGTAATTTCAACGTTTGTGATGATTAAAACTTTTTATCTATGCAATCCCGTAGAAAAGACAGAATATTATTGTAAAAACAAAGGCCTAAAAATTATTTTCCAACCCATTTACATAAGGTCACAATCAAAACACTAGGCTGTTGAAATCCCTCCAACATCAGTATCTCAGCTGTTACAACCACATATATAAGTCCTTGTGAAAGCAGTCCCGAATAGAACCACAAAAATTTGGGAGTACTGCATTGAAAATTAACAGTATAATTTGTCAAAAATTACGCGGACTTGACGAAATATTTGATGATGGCAAAATTCAAAGAATAATAGAATCTTTTATTTATATGGTCTTCAAAATTTCATATCAAAATGTGGTAAATTTATTGATTTTGAATCATACCATTAAGTCAGCCGCAAAAGACATAAGCAGTATAAAAAATATTTTAAAAACAAAGGTTTAACAATCTCTCATCATCAAAACACCATCAGTTAAAATCTATTAAACAAGTATGATATTTTTTTGTTTTAAAACCAAAAACTACTTATGAGATATAGTGTGATATTTTGACTCTCAATCACGTTCTTTACAGTCCGGATAAAGTTAAAGATCTTCTTCCCGTCCTCCCGTATAGCCTTTTTAGGCCTAACTGTTAAAATCTAGCCTCATGTTTTATTATGCATATTTTGGATCTATGTTGCCGATCGAGCATTACACATATTTTAACAAAAGTGAGGTGCGCCGTCAACTGTTACAACGTCACTTTACAATGTTTTAAATGAGAAAAATCACTATATTTCTGTAGTACTTCAAATATTAGTCCAAAATCTAAATACATAATAATAGACCATAAAACTGTTGAAAAACATCGCGAATTTTAGAAAATCAATGAGTTAAAGAAGCACACCAAAGCCGATAATTTTGTAGATTTTTTTTAAAATATGAAACCTAGGAATACTGCATACATACTGTGAAATTTTATAACAATTGTTAAGTTATAGGTGTTTTGTTTTTCTCAGGAATGTGTATCAGTTACAATATTCAAATATTTAGATATTTTTAATATTCTAAAGAGCCGAAATGAATTTGAATTACCCATACATATACTGGATTCGAAACTTCATAAAAATCCTTACAAACAAAGATACATGTACACATTGGCTATGGTTTTAAAAAAGACTGTGAATACAAGTGGTGTGCTTGATACTCAAAAATTATTAATTTATGAAATCACAAGATTTTACCAAAATAATAAAAAATTACAACAATAGCCATTCCCCAGATAAATTAAAAGCTTTTTGAAATCATTGACAGCCGCTTTTTCCTCGTAAATTTACTATCATTGGTCATTTGCAAAATTATTTTGTTAAAAGACATTCTCATTGCACACACAAGTACTCTGAAGTTGACATAAAAAAGATGCATGAGTTTCTGTTTGACAATATTTGTGTGGTTTTTGGAGACCAGGTATTCAAACAATCTACTGGAATTCACATGGGTACCAATTGTGCTCCGTTATTAGCAGACCTATTTTTATATTCATATGAAGCAGATTTTGTGCTAAACCAATTAACAATGGTTCCGAGATTTCCGATATATCCTGTGAGCTTGAGATAAAAGATATCACAGTCTGACAAATCTGCATACTTGGATATTTTACTTGAAAAAGACACCAAACGCTATATGATAAACGTGATGACTTTAACTTTTCTATCGTCTGTTTCCCTTACTTATTCAGCAATATACCCTCATCACCTGCATACGGAGTATATACTAGTACATTTCAGTTGATTCGATATGCAAGAGCATGGTCTATTATGAACAATTTCTAAAACGAGGTAAATTATTCAAGCAGTTGAAGACATACGTTTAAACCATTTCGTAAGTTCTATGGTCGATACAATGACCTTGTCAGCAAATACAATTATCATTGAGTCAAATGCTGACTGACGTTTTTCATACTAATTGTTAGTCCATTATTTATACATTGAATACACGACGGATTTTTCCGTTATTTTCTGATCATGACAAGGAGCACACGGCAGGTGTTCCAACATTTGTTTTATGGACAACATTGAATTTGCTGTTTAATCCAGAACACTTTTTGTAGAATGTAAAATAAACATACTTCCTTATACATATTATAGCTATGGTTTAAAAAAAACAACTGATGTGAACATGTAATTTATGTGTACATAAAATGCAGAAAAGGATCTGTCCCCAACCATCGCTGTAAACATCTCCAACATGACCATTTGCGATGGTTCTCACAAACACCTCATCTCCCTGGTTAATGTGCACCACAGCAAGATTTCCACTCTGCGAGTTATATCCACTAGTGGAGTGTTCAAAGAAGACACCGACTTGTTCTTTGTTGACAACAAGTTCTACAGAATGATATTGCCCATTAAATTGAAATATTCAATTATTGTTTCTTATTATCAAAATTTTCCAACATTTGTTTTAACAACATCAAACACAAGAACATGATGTGGACCAACATTGGAAACAACTGATGTCATGTAAGCATAAAATGCTACGGTCTGAGCGGTTGTTTGTGATGTGGAAAGAGGCACGAGAAGGCGTTCTGTGAATATATACGTATCCTTATAGCTCATTTGAAAATTCAATTATCAATTCTTATCAATTTTCTATCTGATCATGATGCTCTACATTAGTTTTGTAGGTAACATAAAGAATAGTATGTATTAAGTATACATTGTATTTATTGTTGTAGTTTGGTTGTGCTAAGAAGATAAGGATCTACATCATTCATGTTTAATCTCATGTATTGAAAATATGTTACCTTTGCGTGTAATAAGATTGCCACCTGAAAATTTCATAACACTGCGCTTTGAAGTTGGCCTGATCACATGCACATTCTCACGCTGTTTATTGGAATTCATTTTTCTGCCACAATTTGCCAAGTTTCTTAGGCTTAAGTCACCACTGTCATGGTCTTCATTTATCTCTCTGTCCCCGGGCTTAAATGTTTGTTTTTCCATTGCCTTTCTGTATTCCCGATTCGTCCTCTGGAGGTTGCTGATGAGTCCGGATTGTCGTTGAGTCGTCCTTTCAAGTCTGGAAACTGTTTCTTGTAAGGTAGACAGTTGGTCGGACTGTTTCTTTGTGGTCTCCTCCAATTGGTCTGTCCTGCTTTTCAATTTTATGAATTCATCCTCAATATTATCACCGGTCAAATGCCCTTCACCAATTTGAATTAAGATGGACAGGACAATAAAGAATCGAATTTCAAATTTCGCCATATCAAACAGTATTCCTTCTCTGGACAAAATGCAGGACACAAATCAGCACCCAATACTTGATACTATATATACGAAAAAATAATTTGTTTACTTAGTAATTATATAGATATATATATATAAGAAGTACTTCTATCATCTGCACTATGACTTGCAGTTCAATCAGTTGAATTCGCCGTCCTTATAGATCTAATTTGAATGGTGTCTTATTTGGCAGTACGATTTCATTTTAAACAACTTACAGAAAAACCAAAATAAAGTTTAAAAACTTCAATAACGTCATTGAATGGGGGCTGGGATAGGTATTGAGTGGATTGGTTTTGGAAAGTAAAATTTAAATTAAGCCGAAAGAACTACAAAGTTCGAGATGCTTTGTTGTCGGAATAAAATGTGATAAAATCGTTAAGATTGCGTGCATGGGCGACGGGTAAGAAGAAAGATATTGATAAGACATTTTTGATGACGAAGGGCACGTAAAAAGTAAACATCAGTGATCTAATAGAGCGAGTGGTGCTCCATCGTATTATTTTTAAAAATGCAATCTCATGGAAATTGATTAAAAAGCTATAAGTTGATGTATATATTGTTAATAGATAATGGATATTATTATAATTATATACAACTAGTAAAAAGATATTCTGCTTTGGATTTACTGAACTTTTTTGGTGAAGTCGAATTTTCATAAGTGGAAATATAAATAAAATTATACATACCTTAACATAATATTGCATTTTTCATATAATTTCAGGTTTTAATGTGTGAATAGGGTGTCGCTTATTGTTCAAAAGCTATACTTCAACTACATACAGTCATGTACACTGCGGACAAAGCACGGTCAACACCAGTTCTCTGTGTACGAGTTCATGTACAGACTGGACAATAGGTCTTGGAAGATGGACAAACAGAAAATTACACTCTCTTTTGCAGGAATTAAAAAAAGAAAGGATAGAGAGTAGTGATTTAACTAAAATCTACATACAAACAATTCAAATTTGTGAAGAGGACAAAAAACACAAGCCCCCAAGTACCGGTACCCAGACAGTACCTCAATCGGTAAAGTGCTCGCTCCGTGATCTGGAGGTCGTGAGTTCGAAACTTGACAGCGACTGACTTCAGTCGATACAAAATGGGTAGCAACTGTTCCTTCGCTATGTGCTCGGCACTTGAAGTGAAAGTTGCGAGTCCTTCGGGTGAGACCTTTTTAATTAAAACCGAGGTCCCGTATGTATCTGGACAGGCGTTGGCACGATACATATCCCTCACTGCTCAATGGCCTTGAGTGCCGAGTACAGGTCAAAATTTGAAGCCCATTACCGGTATATGGTGTACAACCAATCAATCAAACGGCCACAGTCACTGTGAGCCCGAAGTTTTGATTAGGTTGACGGAATATTCCATAGTCAAACATGTCAAATAAATTTTAAAAACGAAGCTCTAAAAAGACCTTATAATTGGTATAAAAATGTCATCTTAAATACAATCTATTGATAAGTAATTTATGGCAAGATCATTATTGGGATTATTGGCTTTGAAATCCCTGTACCGTCATTCTTTCAGGGCTGTTATATTAAGTACAGCATATCATTCAGAACAGAAGTAAACTAACATGGTAAATGCCCTAGGAGGACTGTATTTCGGTAGCTCTTAACAGCTGCTCTGAAGTTATAGAATGGGCTGTTCACGTTTTTGAAATATTTCTTTAATAACACATTTATTGATTGTGAAATAATCACTTGTTCCTCCGTGTACAATATTAACTATGATCTATAAAAAAAGGAAGAATGGAATGCTTTAATATAACTTTATGTGCGTCTTGTCATTATAATAAGAGCCAACCAGAAAAGGATGGACGTCCCGAACCACTACTGTATAAATTTCCAACATGATCAGTTGCAGTGGTTATCACAAACACGTCATCTCCCTAGTTTACGTACACCACAGCAAGATTTCCGCCTTGAGAGTCCTGCCCAGACGCGGTGTGTTCCCTTAGGAAACCAACTTGTTCATTGTTGACAACAAGTTCAACCGCATGGGACTGCCCATTATAAACTCGAATATTCCAGTAGAAGACGTATAATCCTGATTTGGGGGCGATGAACACGCCTGTATGTTGATGATAGCCATTTCCAACATTTGTTTAACGACATCGAAGACCAAAACATGATGTGGACCAATATTGGAAACAGGTGATATTATGTAAGCATAAAATGCTACGGTTTCTGAGGTTGTTGGAGATGTCGATAGGGGTGCGAGAAGGCGTTCTGTGAACATGTAGATAAAATTGTTTTGTTTTGATTTTGAACATATTTTATCATGTAAGAAATACATAAACGGATTGGGCAGCAGGCATAGCCTATATAAGATAAAATTGTTGATATACATCTCACCATAATTAACAATTCAATTAGCCCCTTCACGATAAATGGAGTACAACCCTTTTGCAGGGCAAATTAATAAAGTTTGGCGAAGTTTTTTTTGATAGAAATTAAATGACGTACCGGTATATTTAACATTTACATTTACGTCATATTTCACCAAAATATATCATTTTGCTCTGCAAAAGAGCAGTACCGCAGTTATCGTGAAAGCGTAATGTTTTTTATTGAAATTATTTTATTACTTATCAATATGCTTGACATAAGATTTGTTTGGAAACGTAAAAATGGTAAGAATTCTTTATTTATTTAAGGAATGACTCTGATTCTTATAAAAATCTGCGAAGCGCATTATAAAAAAGCGAAACGCATCATAAACCAGGTTATAATCCTTATTCATGTACATTGATAGAATGCTACCTTTCCATATAATCTAATTTTAAAATAATTTAACAACTGCGCTTTGAAGTTGGCCTGATCATATTTTCACTCTGTTCATTTGAATTGAATTTTCTGCTACAATTTGCCAATTTTTTAATGAAACAAGGGGAGGTAATAACCTTTATACACATGTCTCGCAGTCATGATGTTTTTTTACATGAGGTAAGATCTGTAGCTACTGTTTGAAGTTAAATTGGGTGATGAGATCCGGTTGTCAATGTGGCAATTCAACCAATTTGAATGCAATGTAACTGTTTCTTGTAAAGTATACGTTGAAAAGTCAACGTTGAATCAATATTGTAATAATTGTATCTAGATTTATCAACGTCTAAACCCAACTTCAACTAATATTCAACGTTTAAACAACGTTGTGTGCCTGCTGGGAAGGTACATTTATTAAATCTGGAATAAACCATAAAACAACGAATGTTAAAATTTGCCATAACGACAACTATTTTGCTGGACACAAATTAGCACTCAATATTTAATACGACAAGATAAGAGAATATAAGAAAGTCTTCTTTCACCTTCACTTGCAGTTCCATAAATTGAACCTAAGAAACAGGCACTTATTTCGGAAATAAATTTTTAACCTATAGTATAATAATAACACAAGGTATCTAACACTCAGTACCCCCTCTTCAGAAACGAACTCATTTAAAATTTCAGAGGAAACGCAATGGCAATTTGTTTATTACCATGCGGCATGTATGTCTTTGTTTTCGTTTGTCTCCGTAAACAGCGTCAAAACCCTGCTTGCCGAGTGGAAAAGTCGAAATTTGGAGTTAGATACCTTGTGTTATTATTATACTATAGGTTAAAATTTATTTCCGAAACAAGTGCCTGTGGCCTAAGGTCCTAACCGTGCTTGGATTGTGCCTTATTTGACAGTAAGATTTTATTTGAAACTACTGGTATAACAATCAAAATAGAGTGCAAAAGACTCAAAAGCTTAATGATTAATGAATTAGGCTTATGGATGGTGTTTTTTAAGAATACGCCTATACTTGTTGTCTTTGTGGGAAGTACCTTTAGAATAAGGTTTAAAGGAATTATGTTAACCGATTGAAAATGAAAAGAAAATGTCAGGACTGAAACAGTGTAGTGGTATGAGTTTGGGATAAGAAAAAAAATTAATTAGATAGACTTAAGGTGGCTCATTATACCGCATTTTTTTATGACAGAGGAATTATTATACTTGTATATTCATTATCTAATTGAAGGAGATGGTATTCCCTCGGAAGATTTAAAAAAAAAAATGCGTGCAGTCACATGGAAGTCGAATAAAAGTCATAGAATGATGTATAGATTATTAATAATCAATAAAATAAAGAAAATCTAAAAGTTTTGTTTTTATTTTACTCAACTTTCTTGGTGAAGAAAATGTCTTCTGATTAAAATAAATTTTAAAGTTAACTTATTGAGATCACACTACCAACACCAAAAAAAAAAACTTTATTCAAACATAGAAGTAAATCTCTTTTTTAGGTCTATGATTCAAATAGGAAAAAATCAAATAAGAAAAAAATGTGATTAGGTTTTTAAAAAAAATTATGCACAGTCACAAATTTGAAATATTTATGGATTTTTGAAGATTTTGATCACTGCTCACCTTTTAAATATTAAAATCTCATTGTGAATTTTTCAATTGTACCATGAAGTTATGATTTACTGATTTACCTGATTTACTGTATGTTATGTCTTTTTGTTATTCTAAAAAGGAGCATAGATTGTCCTATGTAAAAACAAAAGCCATAAATTCATGTTTTTGAGCTTTTTATTTTCAAAGAATACGAATTTTTTACATATAAAGACATTGCAATTACTAGATTAGAATATCTAAAAGGAAGAAAGAACACGGATGTTATATAATAAGCACTTGTTACACGTGCATAAACGTGCATACACGTGCACTCATTCAATCATCAGAGTCAACCATTTTTTTTTTTACTCTCAGAAAGGGGAAGACGTCGTGGTTGAATCGTTGAAATAAGACTTTTCTGTACTGTGGATCAACGTGTTTTTGGGTTGCGGAACAAGGCGATTGTGATCTGCAAAATAAAAAATAAAAGTTAATACCAATCGTTTGAATAAATTCTTTTAAAATTTTATTTCCATCTACTTGGTTAATATATCAAATTGCTGGAGTGGTACCTTGCAAAACTCCGGAATGAAAAGAAATAAATTTCGGAAATAAAAAGAGTAGGAAATGAAATTAAAAAATGTAG